CATATGCCACACCCCCTGACATCACCGGAAGTGTGTCATAAGACCACACCCCCTGACATCACCGGAAGTGTGTCATAAGGCCACACACCCCGCCCCCAACAGTCCCGGTCGCCGCTGCCGGCCTTGCAGCTCCACTGCCGAGCCCCATGAGGGGCCCAGCGGTGGACCTGCAAGGCCAGCGGGAGTGCAAGGAAGCCTGTGAAGGCCCTCCCTGGCCCCAGGCAGGCAGGGGTGGGGAGAGGCAGGAAGGAAGCAACTTACCCTCCCTCTTCTCCTGCCTCCTCTTGGCTGAATGAGGGCCAGAAGCGGGGCGGTCGGGAGCAGGAGGCGGGGCTTCTTCATGTGCCCCGCCCCCGTACCTCACCCGGGGGAGCTGCGATGCCCCGCGTTCCCCCCCCGAAATGACCTCTGGATAGAGGCAAGATACATTGACTTGATATGTAAAGCCAATTTCTTTCCCCCCAATATTTCTTTCTTGGTATTAAATATTTGTGTTAGATTAAAATTATATTACAAATAAGTTTATCCCTGGTCTGATTTTTACCATTTTGAAGTTATTGTATTTAATTTTCTCAATTCCATAAAGCAATGTTATTCTCTCTCTGGTTCACAGACACATTTGCATTTACCATCAATCAAAAAAGCTATATCACTACTGCACACCCTGTGTGTAGGGTAGACAACTCCCAGTTTGGATAATTCCTGGAGATTGAGGGGTGGAGCCTGGGGAGGACAGGGGTATAATGCCACATAGTTCACCATCCAAAGCAGCCATTTTCTCCAGGGGAATTGATCTCTGGAGATCAGTTGAAATTATTAGAGATCTCCAGGCCCAACCTGGAGGTTCGCAACCCTACCTGTGTACAACCCCACTAAAACACACACACACACACACACAATAATATAAAACTATCAGTATTAAATATATAACTATAACCTTTTGAACTACCACAGTCTGTCTAAGTATGTAGGGATGTTTCTCCCCAGTGCTAAACCTTAGTTAGTCTAAGTGTATCTAATAGTGACCCAAAGGTCTTCCCTCTGTGCCTTACCACTTGTTCCTCAGGTTGAGGCAAAGTAACTCAGGTGAGAGAGTTGAACTGCTATTGTGCCTGAAGGAGAGTAAGCTGGCTATGGAAGAAGGGAGTAAAATCTGTATTACCATTCTGTGGCCATCTTGTTCTTCCTCGATGGCTGCCATGGTGGTGGATGCTGGGATGAGAGTACAGAGGCTGTGGAGAAGGGCAGGGGTTGTTGGAGAGGATGGACCCTTTACAGCCATCTCTGGTTCAGAATTCAGGGAAATTTTCCCATCTACCAGTCCCTGCAATGGTTCAAGGAGGCAAGCACAAGTTCTACCAGGTAAGGGCCTTGCCTACGTTCCTGGAACATGGGGTTAGTGCTATATTGCCGATTGGTGCTCAAAACTTCCACAAGTAGTATGTCAAACAGCTACATGTGGCTCCTGAGTCACTAAGTATTATAGCCTTAAAGCATGCATAGGAAAATATTGCTCCTCCAATATGTCTCATTTAGTTAATCAGCCCAGATGAGTGTTTATTTAAACTGATACCATGTTCCTTACATTTTCTGAATCCCAAAATGTATAGAACTGTCTGCAGCTGATTCAGATAAGAGTTTGGAAGCCTCTTAGGACTTGGCCCTTTAGAAGAAGAAGAGGAGGAGGAGGAGATTGGATTTATACCCTGCCATTCACTACCCAAGGGAGTCTCAGAGCGGTTTACAAACTCATTTCCCTTCCCCTCCCCACAACAGACACACTGTGAGGTAGGTGGAGCTGAGAGAGCTCCGGCAGAAACTGCTCTTTTTCAAGAACAGCTCTTATCAGAACTACAGCTTGCCCAAGGTCATCCAGCAGGTGCAAGTGGAGGAGTGGGGAATCAAACCCAGTTCTCCCAGATTAGAGTCTGGTGTAGATTATGGCAGCAGTAAAACGTGTTTTTTCTAGAGGTGTGAAAAAATGATCAGTATTTTTCGGATTTGGGTTTATTGGACCTGAAAAATATCATTAAATACCAAATTCCCCAAATACCAGTACCGGTATGGTATTTGTATCAGGTAAAATGTGAGAATCCCAAATTTTGGGGAACCATTATACCCTTTGGGAGGAGGCTGAAGTTAGTTCCTTATTCCCAGTTCCTTATTCATTCCTTATTCATGAATTCAACCTAAAACACTGAGGAGAGTTTGAAAGCTCTGAACCACATAATAAGGTCTGGAACATCATATATCATACACCCCAATGTCCAAGGAACTCTTCCCTTCAAGGGGACATGTGGCTCTTCCTGATCCAAGGTCTGGTTCTTGCGCCAGCCACTCTAAAGTGACATGACCTCAGGACAATCACACAGGCAGACACTGAGGCCAGGCTACACCCTCAAAAAATCTTTGGACTACCCCAAGTGACACATACCCACACTCTGGGGACTGTTCCCTGCAAGGATATACAGCACTGCCTGGTCTAAACACTGGTTCTGGAGCCACAAACTTCTATTTGGGATACCTCCAAGAGGCCTCTATTTCTAAGGAGATTTAAATAAGGAACTGGTTGTCCTTTACACCTGAAATATGGTTTGGACCACCACATGTCATACACCCCAGGTTCAGGGAAGCTTCCCCTTCAGGGGGACATGTACTGTTTCCTGGTCCAAAGTCTGGTTCTTGTGCCAGCCGCTCCAAAGTAAGATGCCTCCAGGACAATCACACAGGCAGACACTGGGGCCAGACTGCACCCCCAAAAAATCTTTGGACCACCCCAAGTGACACATTCCCACACTCCGGGGACTGTCCCCTTCAAGGAGACATACAGCACTGCCAGGTCCAAACACTGGTTCTGGAGCCACAAGAGGCCTGTATTTCAAAGGAGATTTGAATAAGGAAGTGCCCTCTGCACCCAAAATAAGGTCTGGAACACCAGATATCATATACCTTCAGGTTCAGGGAACTCTCCCCTTCAAGGGGACATAAGGCACTTCCTGGTCGAAGGCCCAGTTCTTGTGCCAGCTGCTCCAAAGTGAGGTGCTCCCAGGACAATCATACAGGCAGATATTAGGGTCAGGCTGCACCCCTCAAAATCTTTGGACTACCCCAAGTGACACATCCCCAAACTCTGGGGACTGTTCTCTGCAGGGAGATATACAGCACTGCCCAGTCCAAACACTGGTTCAGTTGCCACAAGCTTCTGTTTGGAGTGCCTACAAGAGGCCTGTATTTTAAAGGAGATTTGAATAAGGAACTGGTTTCCCTTTACACCCGAAGTAAGGTTTGGACTACCACACGTCATACACCCCCACATGCAGGGGGCGTTCTACTTCAAGGGGACATATGGCTCTTCCTGGTCCAAAGTCTGGTTCTTGTGCCAGCCACTCCAAAGTGTGATGCCCCCATGACAATCACACATACAGACACTTTCGTATGACTGGTCTAAGGAATGTAGAAATAAACTAAACATACCGACACTGAGGCCAGGTTGCACCCCCCAAAAAATCTTGATATAATGCCATAGAGTTCATTCTCCAGAGCAGCCTAGAGTATCCCTGACAAGTGTTTGTCCAGCTGTTGCTTAAAGACTGCCACTGACGGGGAACTCACCACACCTCCTTAGGTAGCTGATTCCACTATTGAAGAAGTCTTACCGTAATTTTCCCCCCTAATATCCAGCCGGTACCTTCATGTCTTTAAGTTAAACCCATTATTGTGAGTCCTATCCTTTGCAGCCAACAGGAACAGCTCCCTGCCTTCTTCTAAGTGACAGACCTTCAATTACTTTAAGAGAGCAATCATGTCCCCCCTCAACCTCCTCTTCTCCAAACTGAACATTCCCAAGACCTTGAGCCTTTCCTCAGAGGGCTTGGTCTCCAGAACCCCAATCATTCTTGTTGCTCTCCTCTGCACCTGCTCCATTCTGTCCACATCCTTTTTGAAGTGAGGCCTCCAGAAATGCAAACAATACTCCAGGTGTGGTCTGACCAATGTTGTGAAAAGCGGGACTATGACATCTTGTGATTCGGATGTTATACCTCTGTTGCTACACCCCAAGGTTGCATTAGCCTTTCTTGTCACTGCATCACACTGGCTGTTCATATTTAACTTACAGTCCACCTGTACCCCAAGATCTTGTTCACATACACTGTTACCCAGAAGCGTATCCACCATCCAGTATGTGTGTTGCTCATTTTTGTAACCCAGATGTAGGACTTGGCACTTATCCTTGTTCTTGTTCACATCCTCCCATTTTTTCAGGGTGTTCAGATCTCATTGAATTCTATCTCTATCTTCTGGTGTTTTCGTTGCTCCTCCCAGTTTGGTGTCATCTGCAAATTTAATGACTAGCCCCTCCAGACCCTCATCCAGATCACTTATAAAAATATTGAAAAGTACTGGGCCCAGAACAGAGGAGATCCAGGAAATTACAGGCCAGTCAGTCTGATGTCAATACCAGGTAAGTCGGTGGAAGCTAATATTAAGGAGAGTTAGTAGGCACATTGATGAACAAAAGCTATTGAGGAAGACTCAGCATGGGTTCTGTAAGGGAAGATCTTGTATCACTAACCTGTTAGTGTTTTTTGAGGAGGTGAACAAACATGTGGACAAGGGAGACCCAACAGATGTTGTTTACCTTGACTTCCAGAAAGCTTTTGATGAAGTTCCACATCAAAGGCTTCTAAGTAAGATCAATAGTCATAGGATAAAAGACAAAACTGGCTAATTAATAGCAAACATAAAGTGAGTATAAATGGACAATTTTCACAGTGGAGGGTGGTAAGCAGTGGGGTACCGCAGGGCTCAGTACTGGTCCAGTGCTTTTTAACTTGTTCATTAATGATTTGGAGTTGGGAGTAAGCAGTGAAGTGGCTAAATTTGTGGATGACACTAAATTGTTCAGGGTGGTGAGAACCAGGGAGGATTATGAGACATTCCAAAGGGATCTGTCAAAGATGGAAGAGTGGGCGTCTACATGGCAGATGGGGTTCAATGTGGCCAAGTGCAAAGTGATGTATATTGGGGCCAAAAATCCTAACTATAAATACACATTGATGGGATCCGAACTGGCGGAGACTGACAAAGAGAGAGATCTTGGAGTTGTGGTAGATAACTCACTGAAAATGTTGAGACAGCGTGCAATTGCCATTAAAAAACCGCCAACACTATGCTGGGGATTATTAGGAAGGGAATTGAGAACAAATCAGCCAGTAAGATGACCAGTGGCTGCCCCTGGAGCAGACGTTGGCATTTGCCTGCCCCCCACATCTTCTAGGATGAAGCGGGGGGGGGAGCCAATTACGGCTCAGTGCAGGAGCCCTGGCCAATCAAAGGTGAGTTTGCCAGCCAGGTTTGGTGGCAGCTGACCTCCATGCCCAGATTGGCCTACAGCGAGCTACCCACCAGCCCGCCCTCTTTTGGACCTTGTGGGATTAGCTGGTCACAGTTTTCTAGGGCTGAGCAGGAATTTTTAGGTCCTCACCCAGATTGGGGCCTTTTTTTGCCTGCTTCACATGGTCTGAGAGGGGGAGGTATAAAGGTAGAGTTGGCTAGGAGGTATAAAGGTAGAGCTGGTTAGGCCCTAACTGGGAGGCGGGAAAAGGATGGGTTATGGGGATTTTGAGTTGGCAAGCACTCTGAGATATCAGCAATATCCTCATACTGGGTGCCTATGGGCTCTGCAGTCAGGGTGACTCAGCTGGGGTCCTCTTTGGGTGGGGGAGCATACAATGAGCTTTGCAGTCATGGGCTGGAATGTGCCCTCCCCTCCCCTCTACGCACTGGCATGCAGGTCGTGACATGCTGGGGTGAGTTTGCCCTGTTAGAAGGCTTGCTTTGCAAGTCCAATGCAGCCCATGCTTTAAGTTGTTGGTGCAGATCAGCTTACGTATAAATAAAATTCCCAGTTTAACCCATAACTTGTGTTGTTTTTCATTCAAGAGGTGAGCGGGCAAAATGCTCCTGTATAACTCGATGGTGCAACCTCATTTGGAATACTGTGTGCAATTCTGGTCACCACACCTCAGAAAAGATATTATAGCATTCGGAAAAATGCAGAAAAGGCCAACTGAAATGATAAAAGAGTTGGGACACTTTCCCTATGAAGAAAGATTAAAGCGCTTGGGGCTCTTTAGCTTGGAGAAAGGATGACTGAGGGGTGACATGATAGTGGTTTACAAGCTTATGTATGGGATAGAGGAGGTAGAGAAAGAAGTACTTTTCTCCCTTTCTCACAATACAAGAACTCGTGGGCACTCAATGAAATCGCTGAGCAGTTAGGTTAGAACAGATAAATGGAAGTACTTCTTCACCCAAAGAGTGATTAACACATGGCATTCACTGCCACAGGAGGTGGTGGTGACTACAAGCATGGATGGCTTCAAGAGGTAATTGGATAAGCAGAGGTTCATCAGTGGCTATTAGTCACAAGGTATAGGTAGGAACTCTCAGTCTGGGACAAGTGATGCTCTGTATTAAATGTCATTAACATCTATTCTTTAACCAGTTCCTTGTCCATCTAACTGTCCTAGAGTCCAGTCCACAGTCCTCTAGTTTACCCAACAGAACATCATGGGGAACTCTGTCAAAAGGTTTACTGAAATCCAGGTAAACAACATCAATGTGGCTCAGTTGAAGAGCCCATGCTTTGCATGCAGTAGGTCCCAGACTCCAGGATCCCCAGTTAAAAACACTGGGTACTTGGTGATGTGAAAGACATCTACCTGAGACCCTGAAGAGCCACTGCCAGAGTAGACAATACTGACCTTGTATAAAGTACTGAGACTGATGCATGGAGGAGTGATTTCAGCTCATACTTTACTATATACAGGAGAACTTGAGATGCTTTAGCGGGACTCACGGCCTGCTTGTATTCTTGTTCATAGCCACAGCCAACACACACACCCACATCATGGATAGGTTTATTGACAGACAATCATTCCGTATTGGTTCCTTTTAGGATCCGGGCTGGCCAGTTGGCTAATCCCTTGGATCCTTCACTCCTATTGTCTCTGGAGGCAAAGCTCCCCCAGCCTGCCTGGCTACATGTGAGCCTGACCGTGTGCGCGGTCTTCCTGGGTACACAACACCTTGACAGACAGATGGTCTGATTCAGTATAAGGAAACATCATGTGTGAATAGCTATTATTTGATTATTATTATTATACCATGTTTTTTTATTTTTAATCTGGGTGGGGGTTTTTGTTTGGTTTAGTAGTCTTGTACGCCACCCTGAGTTCCTTCAGGGAGAAAGATGAGTCAGAAGTTTAAAAATAAAAACTTGCCCACTGTCCCCACATTTTGCAAATGCAAGGCCACCATTTTAAAGATAAAAAACAGAAAGCCTGCAACATAAGGCAGTCCAGGATGTACATTTAAGGAAGTCACTCCTGCTCTTGGGTTCTGGAGCCGACAGGCGATGTTTGGATGGGACAATTGCAGACACCATGGTTTTGATACCAGCATCCTCTGTTAAGGAAAAGTACCATAAGTTAGTTGGTTCTAGAAGCAATGCTGGAAAGCATTACTGGAAGGGATGGGTGGGGGTACTCACCATGTTTGGCAAATTCTTGCAGCTTATCATTGTAGATAGTTTGTAAAAGTTGTAAAAGATGGTCAGTGGAACTTGAGACAATCTTTCGGATCCCTGACAACTTATCTTTTAAACCAATATACACACTGGGCAATGTATCATCTCCTGTACTCTTTTTGAATTCACAGTATTCCTGTTAACAAATAACCACATATATATTTTGTTTACTTTTCAGTTAGCACAGTATTTGGACACTAAAAAGCATTCACCCTGGGATTCAGTTCCCCCATGCACTGATCTGGTGTTTCAAATGCCGGTTAATTCCTCACAGAAGCTTCAAAATGGCCAAGTGTATCACAGATCACCACGGTTTAATACATTACCAGCATTTTACAATGCTGTAGTTAATGCTGTGCTCTCCTATTCAATCTCCCCCCCCTTCTGTCTTTAAGTACTAGCTGCAGGAGTAGGCATGACTTACACAAGCCATCACAGCCTAGCAGTTGCTCACTGAATCCTAGCCAGGCAGAGGGGAGGTAAAAGGGCTGGGGCCCCTGGGACAGGAGAAGATAAAAGAATGTCATTCCATCCCCTACTACAAGTCCTGAATTTATCTAATCTGTTCCAGGGTTCTGACATGTTTACAATCATGAGATTGTTCCTAATGACCAGCCATTGGTTTCAATGACCACTTTATTTTAATTTTGTCGGATTTATGCAACTTCATATTAATTTTGGTTTTATATTACTGGCTTTTAGAGAATGTCTAGAGAAGAACGCAGTGAAATGAAACGTGCCTCGTTCATGCTAAGCTTAAACATATTAACTACTTGGGGTCAGCACACAGGCTACTTGCAGCAGCAGCAGCATCACTTAAGGTACCTTTAGAAAGAGGATGTCATTGGTGTGGATAGCCATCTTCTCCAGCCTGTTCTTACATTCCTCCATGGTCATTTGTTTCTTTTCAAGGTGGATCTTTATACCATTGGCATGATTAACTGCAGCATGTTCCATTTCTTCTAGAAAAGCCAGCACATAAGAGTGGGCCTTCTTGACTGCTTTCAGCAGTTCTTCAAACTGCCCTTCTACCATGGCTTTCACTTCAGATACTGAACTCTGGTGGAACAAAGCCACTATCTTTGTTATTTCAAATTTGCTCAAACTCTTTCACCAGTCCTGTTTTGTGGGCTACTCCCTGTACCATGATTGAATAAATCACATTAATCTCCTATTTAATAAAAATGGTAAACACAGGAGAGGAGAAGGAGAAGAAGGAGAAGAAGGAGAAGAAGGAGAAGAAGAAGACTAAACATCCTGCCAAACACATCCCAACTTTTTTCAAATACAAAGCCCCCATTTCAAGATTTTTAAAAAAACCCAGAAAGGCCACATCATAAATCGAACAGATTAAAATTGCCAAACATGGGAAGTAGAATGCTTGAGGATACATCAGGGCTACAG